ATGAAATAAATTATTTTTTATTCTCAAAATTAAATGATCTTTTAAGATATTAACTTTTAAATAAATAATTTAATTTAATAGTTGCTTCTCCTTGGCAACTGTTGACCCTCTCTTTCCTTTCTCACCCCAAAATAAAATATAGTACTCATTAATTAGGTTTATTAGCACACCTCTAACTGTATTCGGCCCATGTTCAATGTCTTTACCATCCAGTTGGTCCAGTCCCCCTATAATCTGCTGCCATTTGTCACATAATGATCTAAGGGTCAATAATTATTTAATCAAAACAACCTCTTAAACTATGGTTAAGCTACAGTAGTTGAGAGTAAATGGGCATAAGCTATTTGCACTTAGTAGTTGAGAAACAATAATTTCCTGCTCTTGGTTAACTGAGAAAAACTAAGTTACTATATAGTTTTTCATCTCATATTAACGAACACCTATATAATAATCGAAGAAATCTCTTGCTCTCTCTTAACCGTCTGATAGTGAGAAACAAGAACAATAATATTATTTAGCTTTAGAAATTTCTTGTGGCCATTGTAATACACTTCAATTTTATTAAGAAGTTGAATGTATAGAGAAATCTAGGAAGAGTTATTAAATAATATGAAAATAATGGAGTTTTTAGTTTGAAAGAAATTGGGTTTGTGATGGAAATTACATGATTTTCCTCTCCTATATACATGTAGTTAATATGAAACAAAAAGAAATTAAAAAAGATAATGTAGCTTAACCATGATTTAAGAGATTGTTTTGATTAAATAATTATTGACCCTTAGATCATTATATGACAAATGACAACAGATTAAAGAGGGACTAGACCAACTGGATGGTAAAGGCACTGGACAGGAGCCACATCCCCTCTGGATTAACTAAAATATGTATTCTAAATAACATAACGTCTAGAAAACCTTACGCTATGTTATCCCCATTTTTTAACAGGATTAAAATCGCCTAGTGGTTAGCAAAGGATTGTTGTGAATCATACCGCTATACAAATATTCAAAAGATATGAAGCTCTTTATTTGCGAAATTCAAATAAAATAGATTTTGCAACATCATAGACAACTGAAAAATGAGAATAATTTCATATATGAACATTTAAGTTAATCCGCAAAACATATTTTATTTTATTTATTTATTTTAGGAGTTAATATTATTCAATTTTAGAAATAAAAAATAATTTATTTTGTCATGACAAATTTTATTTAATGAGAAATTCAGTTGAATGATTTTATGGATACAAGGATTTAAGTTGAGTGATTTTATTGATACAAAACAAAGTTTAATGACTTTTTAAAATAAATTCGAAAGCTGAGTGATCATTTGAGATATTAACCCCGCGAAATAAGGAGTCAGCTACGATTTTTTTTTTACTAAACAACAAAAATCTCATGTTAATCCCATTTAGCTAAGGATTAGCGATGAATTTTACGAAAATGAAAATCTAATTAGCTAGGAGCTCTTTGCAACATGTTAGTAAAGAATTACAGATAAATTTCTTAGTGATCAATTCCATATTTTTCTAATGCTGGTAGTACTAGGAAATTATACGATAGAAGAGTTATATACGTATCCAATCCTTTTTGGTGCGACCAGATGTGCGATGCTCTTTTGGTGCATAAATAAGGAATTTCCAAAGTGAAAGTGACAGAATATTTTAGAAACATCAAAATAAGAGATGGAACAAAACAAAAGAATTAAAACCTTATCATGATGAAGTAGTAGACAAAGTACGTGTCTGTTCTTCATACCCTGAAGTCCATTTCATGTCCTATTAAAGAATAAAGTTCCCTTGACTTTGGAGGCAGTCTGTTTAATGGAACCAAATTAAAGAAATTAATTGCTTTTTATTTTATATACGTGTTGTAATATGTGATTGAGGACAAAAAAAGAGCTTTGAATGTCAGCCTCAGGAATATTAAATGGATTCCCTCTCCTTAATTATTGATTTTTGAAAAAGAAATTGTTTTGGATTTCATATTTGGAGCGTTCCCTAATGTTAGCTAGTCTTTGTTTAGACTTGGACTTTAGAAAAATAGGTGCAATTAATATCTTATTATATGAAGATGAAATTGAAAGACAAAAACATGTTGGTTTTTCGTTATATTCCGAGAATCGGCCCAATTGTTAATGATGCCTCTAAAGACAATGACGTGTTAAGAATAATTGAATTGAATATATGCAGGTTCTTTATTAATTCATTATTGTGCAAAAGGGAAACAATCATAAACTCTCTCCCCCCTCCCCCCCCCCCCCCCCCATAATTTACAATAAATTATACTACTTTACTAATTAAATAAAAAATTAAATTTAGAATCTGTACTAATTAACTATAATTTAACAATAAGAAGTTGACTTAAAATCATAAATATATTGAAAGAGTTAAAGTTTTATTGCATATATATATATATTAAGAGTGCAATGATATGCGTATTTATTACATTGTTATATTTATTATTACAAAAACATTTCAATCGAGGTATGATTTAAGTTAAGTTTGTATCTTTGGGATCTCCTCAATCAACATATATATGACGGTTTGAATAGGATGGTGCCAAAGTTATTGAAGAGTAGAGAAGTGAAACTATAACATTATAAGTTTAGTACGTGTTTGGCCATGCGATATTATATTACGATTTGAGATGGAATCAGCGTTTGGACATGCGATTTCACGTAGATTTCATCTCCTGATTTGAAATCATGAGATGAAATATCATATTCTCCAAAAATCATGATATGAAAATTCTATATCATGATTTGAGATTTTTTAAATACAAAAGTTGACCCACATATTTATATTTTGTGAAAACAACCCACATTATATTTACTAAACATTTATTTCATATGTAAATCAAATTAATAATCACATCATTACTTTTTAAAATTTATTATAATCACCAACATAAAATTTATTATTGCTTTCAATTTGGTGAATATAAATGATAAAGTAAGAATTGATTTGGTGAATATAAATACAAACAGAGGGAGTAATATTGTTTTGTTTTTTCATAAAAAAAAAAACTTCTCTTTCGACTACATATGAAAATGTTTAAAGCAATTTAATATGAAAAAGGACAAAATTGATGATGTATGTTTGATAATCACTACTTCCAATATGTTTGATTTTAGCATGAAATTAATGCACTGAAAAGATTGAACCAACAAATGGCTCAAAGTAACAATGTTGGTTTGTCTTCTCGGTCATATGATAGAGAAATGCAAGTTCAACGTGAGAAGATTGTCTGTACTATGTGAGAGAATTATATTAAAGACTAGTACACTACAATTTATGTTATTGAATTAAAGTTTGATCAATTAAAGTTAGATGAAATAATTAATTAAGTGGAGAACATATAGCTTTGTTATAATGCGATTTTATAAATTTTTATTTATTTGATAAGATTGAATAAACAATTGGAGCTATTTTAATAGTTTTACAACTTATGAAGTTTTTATGTTTATGAGAAAATATACAACACAAAAAATTTATATCACATGTTCAAACAAAACTTCAATTTTATCTCATAATTCCATATTATAATATCATATCATAATTCTATATCGCATAGCCAAACTGCCCTAAAAGTCTTTGACCTAATCATGAGTCCTCCCATTACAGGTTCATATCATAGGTGCACAATTTGTCAAATTCATGACAATATATAAAGTAATTCAGGCTCTATAAAGGAGTTGTCATAATTTTATTTTATTTTATCATAAATAATTGCCAACAAGAACAGTATTAGTTACTAAGTCCTTCCATCAAAGCCTCGAAAAAACAAGGACGCAATAATAACGATTGGGATAAGGCGTTACGCACAAGCCCTACACATTATTACTGTTTTTTTTTGTTTTTGTTTTTATTACCTACAGACTACAGTAGTCCAGTGAGATTTTATCACGCATCCACAGTTGCGCACACCATAAAATAGATAAGGTCAAAGAGTTTATAATATAATATAATATGTTGTTTTTAATTACAGCAGATAGAAAAAATCAAGTTGACTACTAATAAATGGAGATGAGGGCACTTTCAAAAATGTTATTCATTCCTCTATCTCCACTATGTTATTTGTGGTCCAAACAACAGACTAGTGATATTTTTGCACTTGCTAGTAATGTCAGCACTCAACACCATTTTAGTGTGTTTATTATATACTACTAGTTCCGTAAGCAAATACGGATTTAGGATTAAAATTTATGGGTTTAACTTTTAAACTTTTAAATACTAAATCATTTGTATTTTCCAATTATTAATCACGATCCATTAAATTCAGATAAATTCAAAACTATATAATAACATCGTCCCCTAAGTATTGCAAGTAACAATTAATCTTGAGGAAAAACAAATGATGACCTAAGCACATATCAAGTACTTCGCTTCTTCGTAGTATTAACACTGGATAAACATAATTGCCAGAGAGTCCATCACTCTCTTAAAAACTCTCAATTTACCTAGAATATTACTTTTTTTTTAATTAAAAGATGTACATTATCATCTTTTTAAAATTAGAAATTATTTAATTTTAAATTTTTTTTTTTTTATCTTTATTAAAACGAGTTATATTCACACAAATTCCAAGGTCTACGACTATCTACTAAATTTTAAAATGTTATTCTTTCTTAAATTTGATATCGAATTAAATAATATCACGTAAATTTAGATTCAACGGTATCAATTTCAGCTCATCAGCAAAGCCGGAACCGAGCTAAGAACGTGCTTCCACGTAAGCACCTTTTCAAATTATTGGCTCCTCACACGCTCAGCTCAAACCAAATACGACACGTAGGCAAACTGTGTCCCCACTTCTTTTCCTTCGTGACTAAGCTGAATTGTTGGGTCCCATCCCACCCCAACCCAAGCTTATGTCACAAAAAAATCTACTTTTAAAAGCCAACTAAATGGACCCCACGCACTATTGCCACCTGACTCAAAAGTTTTGTCGAATTACAAAAATATCCCTGGTGGGAACATACCCTACTCCTTTCCGTTTGTCAATAAATACTACACTCCTGACCTTACTACTTCCCTTTTCTCCTCCTAATTACCCACCCCCCTTTAGAAGCGATTTTCCGGCCATGTTGTCCACTTTTCCGGCCACTACTCTGTCCGCTGATGGACTTTTTCCCTATTTATTTCCGGCTTTTGATGGCGGGTTCACTCCTTGGGAATGTATCGAACCGGCTTTTCTATTCCCACAAGAAGTGGAAGAAGAAGAACCGGTTGTTTCACCCAAGGAATCCCCACCCCCTGAACCGGTTATTTTAAACTCCGATTCAGGTTCTGATGACTCCAAACCGAATTCTGTTCACTCTAGTTCCGGTTCAGATGACCCGAACCGGAATAATAACAATAATAATAACACGAACCGCTGTCCTGACGAGAGGAAGCGGCAGCGCACGACGTCGAACCGTGACATAGATGAGAGGAAGCGTCGACGTATGGTATCGAACCGGGAATCAGCGAGGCGGTCCCGCATGCGAAAGCAAAAGCATCTGGAGAACCTGCGGAACCAAGCGAACCGGCTTAAAGTAGGGAACCGGGAAATAATGAACCGGTTACGGTTAATTACTCACCAGTGCCAAGTGGTCCAGTGTGAGAACGAGCGGGTCAGGACCGAATCGGCTATCCTTCGGCAAAGACTTGAGGGTATACGTCAAATATTGATCACCCGGCAACTTGAGCAGCAATTTAATTATTATTCTGCATGGGCATGCAATAATATGGAACAAAGACCTCATTAATTAATCACTTGGACCTATAATAAATCATCATTAAACGTGTTTCTTCCTCTAATTAGCACCACTATATAACTATCAGATGAAATGAAGTCACAAGAGGATTTTCTCTCTCTCACTCTCTATTTCTTGTAAATTAAATTAAAAGGTGCGTATAATAGTGGTAAAGAGATATAGTAATATGTAATGTAGCTACTAGCTAGGAGCTTTGAGGTTGGGACCAAATGGTGGTTTTATTTTAAGCAAAACCAGGCTATCATTATGGTGTAAATGACACAATCGTGCAATGTTTGGCTTATTAGTTAAATGGAACTATTTTCTTTTTGCCTTTCTACCGTTTAGTAAGTATTATATTGCTAGTACGTTCATTGCCATAATTGTTTTTTCATGACTTTTCAATCTCTAAATGGCGGACCCCGTACGTAACATTTGTCGTCATTGGCGCTAATCCAACGGTCATTAAGAGTATTAATTATCTCCGTGATTTGATTATTAGACTTAATCAGGAATAATGCTGATTAATTAAGTGGCGTCTCACCAAATGGAACCGCGCTTAAAGAGAATTCTTTATTTCTTAGCTAGGTTAATACACTAACTGATTGTTGATGGTTCACTTTACCATCCGATTTAATTTATGTTCACATGCATCTATCTACACGCATGCAGGAATATCAACAAATAAAAAAGGAGAGAATATATAATTGTGTCTTGACAAAAATAAATTATTAACCAAAGGACGGGGAATATGTTGCTTTCAATATATGATGTATATTTATGCTCTTTTCCTTTACTAAACTTTGGGGGTATTTGGATCAAGTACGAAAGCAGATGGAAGCTTTATATTATAGTAATAATCAAGATATACAGATGACGACATGACGTCGTTATGTACTTGTATAGCTATAACCTCATGATTTTAGATGTAATCCTAATTAACGGATTAAGATAAATTCTAAACATCTTGCTCTTAATTAGAATCATAAAATTTCATGATTTCCATGATGAATTACTTTGTAAGAATATTTAACATCAAGCAAATATAGGTGAATTGCATGTGCCTTTCTAGATATGGCGCCATAAGAGAAAATTGCTTCAATTCTTCAGCCATGACAAAATGTTCTCTTCTCCTTTCATCCATCTTTCTCTCACACTCTTGATGGAAATGATAATACCAATATTATGCTTTCGTTTAAGATAAATTAGGGTCAATTTTCTAAATCCTCATTGACAATATTTCTAACTTCATTAATGATATTTCTTCATTTATTCTCAACTCGTGTAAAGGATGTCATGATTCAACAAGTTTTACATAATCATTCTACTGAAACCAGTGACGACTCCTATTTTTTATGTGTGTTCTTTTTAATCTATATATTGTAATTCCACTATATAAAAATTTTGGCTTCATCATTGACCACAACCCTCATCTTTTATTTGGATTGGCAGTGCGAGCTCATTCATGTTATTTCTTGTTCAAGATCACACTTAACTGTTATTTCTTTAATAAATAAAAAAACCTCTAGATTATCAATTAAACTTTTTTTATTAGACAAGTTTTAATAGATCAGATTAGGATAACTGCAGTCCAAAAAAAATATCTCCTGGACCACTTTTTTTTTTTGCTTTTATGCATTTGACCCGTGAAGTTTTTATCTGAATTGAAACCTAATCCATTAAACCCATAACAAAAAAGTTGCATATGTCATCCCCATTTTCATTTTCCCTTTCACCAAAAGTAGTGTGGATCTATTTATAACAATAAACACAATTTAATTTTCTAGTGCGCAAGTTGAGTGAATATTTTATGTTAGGTGCCACGGATATTCCCCACGTAAATGTACAAAACTAATAAACCACCATGGATAAAGAATTAAAGCGATTAAAGAAAAGTTTGTTTGAACAAGTAAAACTTGTTTCTTTTTCTTCATTTATTTTTCTGTTTCCTTTCCTTTTGAAAGGGTGAATGATTTGAAAAGCATCTCCGTTAAAACATAAATAATAGTTATGTTTGTCTTTTTATATTTTACTTCCACTTTATATTTTTTTTGTCGATCCTTAGATCAATATATCGGATTTAATATTGATCAATTTGCAAGGTTGATATTTATATCCAGGGTATAAATGACGTATCCTAATATGTATATTTTAACATCATTATATCAAAAGTATGCTAACATAGCTATAGTTTGAAGAAATTACTTTATAACTATATTTACGTGGACCACGTTTGTATAATTCGCTCGTAACTATATATATTCAGAATTTGTATAATTCAATTTCTAGTTTTATAAATACAAAATTTATATATGTTTACCCTAGCTTGTATATAATTAATTATGTTGTTGATACATTTGTTAATACATTTGATTTATATAAATTTTGAAATTTCTAAATGTATAAATACAGAATTTGTATATACTTACCATGTTTGTATATTGACAAGTGAATTATATAAACGGAAATATCCATAGCAAAAGAAACTGCTATGGAGAATTAGGCAATTGTAGCTAAGGAGACTTATTAAGTTAAACTCTTTGCTATTTATGAAATTCCCTAAAATTAGAATTGACTAACATTTACCTAAACTACTGCTTTTGTCACAATTAAATGGCTGTAATTTTATTTTGGTCAACAAAAATATTTGCAAAATATTACTACTAACAAGTGTAAAGAACAAATTTCCCCGCTGATAAAAATACGGACATATTTCTAGAACACCTTACTAGTTTAGTTGCCACCAAATTCTTTTTATTTTTTTTAGTTAACATCCTTTTCTTTAATTCACTCTTGGTGGGGTAAGATTATTAGTATAGTAAAGTAATTATTGTCGAAATCAAGTGATGCAAATAGAATAGACAGGTGAACAACCAAAGATCGTGATATGGAGAAGTTTAATTACATTATTTAGAATACTATGTTGTCAAAGATTTTAGGGTAGTCTTCTCTATTAAAATTTAATTAATTTAAAGTAACTGGTAGGTCACTTCCTCATAAAGAAAAAATGTAAGAGTACCAATTAAGGGTTTCGAAGTGTGCATGCTTTTTTAATAAAAATAACATATTTGCTTCCTTACTTCACCTCTAAGTTAATTAAGATGAGAGAAAGGCATAAGTATTTGTAATTCGTACTTACTATTTTTCATGGTTAGCTTTATTTTTCCAACTAGAGAGGAATCCCATCATATTAATATTTTGAGAAGTACGTATATAAGTCTGGCATCCAAATTTTCCACTCAAGAATATTGAGTTTACAAGTGGAAGTAGTTTTCAAATTTGGGAAGATATTAGTTTATGAAGAACGTCTACTAAGATTGGATTTGAGTAACTAATCATCCACATATAAAACGTGCAAACAAGAGAGAACCTATAATATCCGCGTTTATACTGAAAATAACTACCATAAAGTACTCTTAATTATACTTGGTTTTGTAGTATTACCTTCTTTTGTAATTTGAAATAGTCTTTACTTTTTTTTTTTTAACAAGATTGGGTTGAGATAATCATGTTTCTATAATATTCCAAAATTATCCTTAAAACGTTTTTAATGATTGGATGTGATAACAACATTTCTACCTTCATAAGGTGGGAGTAACCCACCACCCTCCTCAAACTCCACTCATAGGATTACATACTACTTTTGCAAAACCAAGGGCTTGTTGGAAATTAGTGCTTATCTTTATATGTAGCTGGTAGTGCTGGTTATAGAATTATAAGGAAACAGAGTATCATAAGCTGGGGCTCCACTTGTTCTTTTTTTCCCTTATCCAGCAAGGAAAAAGGAAAACAAAAAAAATGAGAAGGAAGAATTGTATTGTGCCCTTGCTAAGAGGGCTATCATCCAAGCTATATCCACCAGGACCCAGGGATGATCATTTTTCATAAAGCAGAATCAGTGAGAGACCTTTGGGAAAATGATAAAATTAGGATAAGGAGCCGAAGGACTTACTGTGCCGTGCACTTTTGTCAGTAGTTGGTAGGAACTAGGAAATGTCTGCAATATGTCACTATCTATTCCCAACTAATCTCTGCATTATTGCATTTGCAGTGAATTAAAAGAAAAAAACATCAGTCCAATTGAGAATGGCTCCATGTCGTCAACGTTACAAACCTACAGCACAAACAGAAATTGGGAAATGATTATAAGCCGATCCTACTGTTATCAAGTATTTCAATGTAAAGCTTGAAAGCATAATGATTTTACACAGATTAAGTTTTTCCCAATATTTGGGGAGAAATGAAGAAGGTGTTGAACCAAGCCGTACATTCATACAGGAACATTTAGCCAAAAACCACAATGATTGAACACTTACTTCCCAGAGAGCGGTCAAAATTAAGCTGAAACTACAAAATTGTACCTATAAAGACTAGAGAAAATTTCAACATAAGATCACATATAAATCATAAGCTTCTAGTTTCCAACTCCCGCACCTTATATAGCCACCAGATTGTCATGGCAAGGGAAGGAAGACGGAGAATCAACTTTTAAATGGCTTTGATTTTTTTTGCCACATCTAGTGCACTATAATTTGGTGTCAGCATAACATATGCTTTCTTCGTCCCGTCAGGCATGATTGATGTATTTACTTTCTTCATTTCAATCTTAAACAGCTTCTTTACAGCAGCCCTTATGCTCTTCTTGTCAGCATCTTTGTGAACAACAAAAACCAAAGTATTATGACGTAATATATTCTCCATAGTAGACTCAGTTTTCAGAGGATATTGGATGACCTGGTAATATTCAATTTTGTTCCTCTGTGATGCACTATTGTTGAGACGCTTGGGATTTCTTTCCATTTTCAACATCTTCCTCCGTTCAGATGAGACTGAATTTTGGATATTTAATACATGCATATTGGTTGATTCATCCGATTTCACTTTAATGGCATATGCTAGCCTTTGTTTCTTGGCATCTCCCTCTTTGAGACCGTCCACTTCACAAGATACAGGACATAGAAACTGAGAACCTCTAGCACTGAAGCTTGTCAGCAATTCCTGATATAAAAAAAGGATCAGAAAACCAATTTTCTTTATAATGCAACTGCTGCTGGAAATTAAACCTGTTTTCTAGTCCTTGAAAGTGATGCTGGCAACATTAAAATGAGGGATTGTATAACAATAGATCAAAGGCCATTTCCGTCAGCAAAACTCATTTGTAGAACATAATTTTCCATTTGCAGTTTGCCTTTATTTGTTACCTTAGGTAAAAAAGAGGGAAGGGCCACACAAATCATGAGAGAAATCTCAATAAACTTCAAGCACCTTGTCACATTTCCTTATAGACGAATATGCATGTTTAGACTTC